CCTGCCTAGCAAGCGTGAGGCTGGAGTTCAAACCCCAGTACCATCAAAAAAATAAAAATAAATAACCAGTGCAAAAAGGACTGGAGGTGTGGCTCACGCAGTAGAGTGCCTGCTTCGGAAGCACGAAGCTGATTTCCAAACCCCAGTCCCAGAGGGGAATAAAAAGGCCTGCTTCAAGTGAGACCTTTGGCATCTGGGAGCTTACATCTCAGAAAGACTCCCACCTTTCCCTATTGATACCAATGTGGTATACAGCAAAGCCCTGCCTTCCTTCTGGAACTTGAAATTTTGGTATGAGCTACACAGAGGGTGCCTGCATGAGCAGCCCCCAGTGAAAATCTTGGGCACTGGGTGTCTAATGAGCTTCCTCCTGTAAACAATGCAACACATGTTGTCACAACTTCATGAGGAGAAATTAAGTGCCCCCAGTATAGCTGCACTAGGGGATGCCTCCAGAATCTTGCACCTGGCTTCCTCCAGATGAGGCCCCCAGCATTCCTTCCCTAGGTTGTTTTTGCTTTGTAACTATTCTCCATTTCACTGAACTGAGGGTGTCTGTGGAAGCCTTCCATCCAAAAGTACCCTAATACACAAAGAGCTTCTAAACAATAAAGCAGAAACCAAAAATCCAGAGGAAAATGGGCTGCAGAAAGAGAAAGAAATGCAAATGGTTCTTAACCACGTGAAAAGATACTTAGGTTCACCTATAACAAGAAATTCAAATTAAAACTATACCAAGATACCATTTCTTGGTAAGAAACAAAAAAGTTGGCAATGGACTGTGACCGTGAGTCTATAAGACAAACACTCTCTGGCACATTACTAGTGAGAATGCACACTACTGGGTGGAATTCATGCAGCAAATTACATATGCATTTGCTCTTTGACCCAGAAACCCAATTTCTAGGAATCTGTCCTAGAGATACTTTGACAAAAACAAAATACGAAAAGAAGGGCTGGAGGTGTAGCTCAGTGGTAGCATGCTTGCCTAGCTTGCTAGCAAACACAAGCCCTTGGGTTCGATCCCCAGCACTGCAATCAATCATTGCACAAGTCTATCATTGTGGTCTCTTGATAATGTCAGAATGCAAAAAATGATGGAAGCCAGGACCCAGCCTGAATGAAATTCAGTTGACCAAATATGGAATAATTTAAGCATCAAAACAAATAATGCCAATAACAGATAACCTGCTGAATATAATGAGGATGGCATAATGGATTTGAATAAAACAACAATCCACAAGAGCAATAAACAGGACATACTGAGAAGTCTTGCTTATAGTGAAATACTAACTGATAAGAAGAGAGAATACTCAAGGTTTGTTTTTTTTTTTAAATCACCACTTTGTAACTATCACTAGAATAATCAATTCAGTCAATAAATGGGGTGGAGGTATAGTTCAAGTAGCAGTGGTAGAGCACCTGCCTGGCAAGCATGAGGCCCTGAGTTCAAAAATCCATAACATACGTGCGCACACACACACACACACAAAAAAAAAAAATCACCAATGGATACAAAGAATGGGTGAAAGTTTAAGGAAGAACAGGGTGTTTACATAAAAATCTTCCCACAAATGACAGTACAGAGGGAAAAACAGTACTGTAAAATGAAGCCCAGCAGCCATTACCCTATCCAACTGATCCAAGTGAACATCACTGAGAATGAGGCAAATAGATATTTAAGGACTTCTTTTTTGGCAGTACTGGCATTTGAACTCAAGAGCTCTGCACATGCTCAGTAGGTTCCATTCCACCAGCCCATCTTAAGCCTTTTGATGGGATACACTAATAAGTATCAACATCACTTCTGTGCCAGTCTTGACAGAAATACATAATCTGTACCTACACAGAAAACATCAAACAAGCCTTAAAATGTCAAATCTTGAAAGACAAAAAAGGTAAAGAAAATAACTGTCCAGATTATATAAAACTTACAAAACACGATGACCAGCAGGGTGTGGTGGAGTATGTTTGTAATCCCAGCACAGAGGAGGATGAGGTAAGAGGATCACTAGTTCAAGGTCAGCCTGGGCTACATAATGAAACTCATCTCAAAAAAAAAAATGCCCACCAAATGCAGTGTATGGTGCTGACGGTGAGGGGGTGAGATTCCACAAGACATGTGACTGCTCACATGACTGAAAACTGCATACAGAACAATAATATTGCATAAATGTTCTATTTTCTGATTTTAATAACCCGTCTGTGACTATGTAAGTCCTTGTTCTCAGAAAGTACACATTGCAGTATTTCAGTATAAAAAATATTATGTCTGCAATCTTCAAACAGTTCAAAAAGTACAATATGTATGATAAAAAGAGAATGGTAAAACAAATGTTAACAGCTGACGAAACCAGAAAAATAATATACAGTAGTTTTTTTGTTCTCTTCCAGTTTTCAGTAAATTCGGACTTATTTCAAAATTAGTTCAAAAATGTAAAAAGCACTTAAAAAGTTTAATGGAGAAGTGAGACTGGATTTGTGAACTATTCTCTAGAAGCCATGTAGCCTAGTCATCCCTTTAAATAGCTGAAGCTTTATTTTTGGATCCAACAGATCCCATTGTCCACATTATCCTGGTACCAGCACTCAGGGTTTATCAGATGATTCAAGGCTGCCAGCATGAAACGTATTTGCTAAAACTGGGGGCTTTGGATCTAGCTCAGTGGAGGAATGCTTGCCTGACCTGCTAGAGGCCCTGGGTTCCGTCCCCATCACTTAAAACACAAACCTGTTTAGCATATCATCATGTAAAACATTGGCACCCACTATATTTGCTCAACACACACTTTTTTCTTTTACACTTTAGTACTAAGCAGTTTTTTCATCTGAAATACAGGTATTTTCCTTCCTTCCTGATGACTTTAATTACAAAACAATGGCTCTCGTATGATGATGTCATACAGAAAGACCAAGACCAAATGTGAGCACCAACTATAACAACCAGTGGTCTCAAGTTGAAGGTGATGTCCCAGGTCCATTCTTTTCCTTAGTCCTGGCTATTTTTATCCACATTTTACCACTTTTTGTTCTATTTTGAGGTAAAATACAGTTCAAAAACTATTTTAGCTCTCTGCAAATACAAGAATTCCTAACATGATAAAGTGGGTAAATTTAGGCTCTTCAGGCTGCTCCTTTCGGTCACACACTAGACAATCAGGACTCATAACCACAGTGGCTTCCAATGCTGGAAAAAGGGGATTCATAACCACAGGGGCTTCCAATGCAGAATATGTCCATGTGAAATAGGTTTCACTACTACTGCTTCCAAAGTCTGTGACAGCCAGAAACACAGCTTTGGGCCACAATGATCTAGTAAAGGTGAATTTCCCAGGAGCAGTTACATTAATCACTTACCTCAAAAGGTCAAAACTAAGAACATTTTAGATATTTATAGCAAGAAGGATGAGTAAGATTCCCAGCTTGCTAATATTAAAAGTCTGACAAATTCTGAAGGCATTAGTTTGCTGCTACCACCAAGAAATGCTTTTCTATTTCAACAGTTTGGGCAAGACCGAAATTACAAAAGCAAAATTCTCACAAGCAAATGTGGAAATGAGAATTATTTTTACATGTTGTCTCCACTGTTGACACTGTCAGATCTGAGAGAGTGTGGGGTGCCCAAGACAGCAGGAGGGGATAAAGAAACCAACACCTGGGCCAGGGTTCCATCCCCAGCATGGAAGTTTGCGGAGCCTATTCTGCCGGCTCCAAACCAGGTCCCAGATAACCCCCATAGACCTAGGGCCACCCACATGTGGGGACAATACCACCAGCAAAAAAAAAAAAAAAGTCAACAAATGGGGGAGGTGGCTTAATATTAATAGTGACTTGAGCTTGTGTCCTGAGTAGCAAAACAACTTCTAAAATAATGAACCACAAAACTTCTCTATAATGTGTATTTCAAAAAAGAAAAAATTAGCACAAGCAAAGAGGCAGGTTTTTTTCCAGCATGTTACCACCACTGGTCCCTCGGCAGCAAAAGGAAAGAACTATCAGTAAGACATGGACTGTGGCAAATGAGAGGACACCCCCACAAGGTTGTCAAGGAAACGAAACCAAGTGCATTTTTCTACAGAAGAGAATTATGGGTAAGGTGAACATGCCACTGAAGATTTCGTGACAAAATGATTAAGTTCCCTTCCTGACTAATCTTTTAAAAGGTTAAATTTACTTCCAGGCGATTTTAGTAGAAATACATCTGCAATGCAAGCAGGCAAGCTCAGATTTCCAAATCCATTTAGTTGGATTCAGTGATCACCTTTCTAATGTGGAGCCCGGACCACTGAAAGGGCATTTCCTAAGGTCTCTTTTGGATATAACATCAAAAAAGAAAAGGAAAAAAAAAAAAAAAGCCTCACACCCAAGAAGAAAAACGAAATTAAAAAAAAAAAAAGGTCTTCCCAAATTTAGACTGTTTCCAAAATGGAGTCTTTTTAAACACATCATTTTTAAGAGAAATGAGAAGTCCATGCAAACTAAAACAAGAGCTTGGCAAAGAGCAGAGTGGTGGGTAAAAAAAGGTGCCAAGTTGGTGGCTCAGACGGGAAAGAACTACCAAGCCGGGAAAAGTGACACACTCGAAGGCACAGCATGAGAGCCAGTGACATTCTTGTCACCGTCGGCTAGCGGGTACATGGCGTTAAACGGCTCTGCAGCGAGCGAGAGCACCAGAGGGGTGAGGCTCCGCGGGCCGGGGTCCCCGCCAGGGCCACATCACAGGGGCTGGAGGTGCGCGTGCAGCGACCCGCGGCCGACCACGAGACGGGAGAGGCGAGAAGTGGGCACACTCATGCCCTCAATTCCTCCCTCCTGGTCCTCCCTGCGGGAAAGCGGGACTTTACAACGTCAAGGCAAAGCCTGGAGTGAGGCAGCAGGCACCGTGCAGGGGGAGCGGGGCCGCCCAGGTGGCCGGGGGCCTGAGCCCTCCAGGTGAGGGCGGGACGCAGGGCGGGAGCGGGGCCGCGGAGGAGTGGGGATGGGCGCCGAGAGATTCTTACCCGGTGCCACAGTCCACCACGCAGGGAGGCAGAGAGCCAGCCATACTTGGGACGCGCGGCGCTCGGCCCTGCCGGCAGCCGACAGCGCCCGCAGCCGTCCGCTCCGCTGCGCGCGGCTTCTTCGGCGAGCCCCGACAGCGCCGCTGCCAGGAGCCCGGATGCTCCGCCGCCGCCGCATGACGTCATCCATGCCCAGCCAATCAGAATGCATGTGCGCTCCGGGGCACGCGTTTCCCTACCCACCCCCGTCCTCCATCTTTAGTGTTGGCCGCGAGGCTTCTTCGCCCACACGACCGATTTAGCTGCTGAAAAAATTGGGGATTATTTTTAACTAATTTACAGTGAATGTGACCCCATTTCTCATCCTTTAAATCTCGGCTTAAGTGCCATCTTCTGAGGACTGTTGTCCCTGATCACCCTAACTAGGTCCCGTCCCCACACTTAATTCTGTCTCAACAATATTGGTTTTATTCCTTATACTTGGGGCAGTGTTTTTATATTTATTTGTTTATCTATTTATTTATTTATTTGCAGTCTGTCTCAGCTACTGGATATAGACTGCTAGAATAGGGTTTAAGTCTTGTCTATTGATGACCTACTGCTGAACAGGGTGTTGATGCACACAGAGAAAGCACCCAGTGTCGAATGAAGAGCCTTCAATTAAAAAAAAATTGCTGTTAGAATTATCATATCGAATAGAGCACTGCATAATTCCTTCTAAGAAGAAAAATCTGAAAAACATACATAGCTAGCCTTAGATGGAGTCAACACCACACCAAGATCATACCAGTAAATACATTTAAGTCATGCAAGGATCTTGAAAAACCAGGAACTACAGAAGGCAAGCACCTACCTACTATGTAATCAAGGTACTGAAGGGCTCTTCCTACTTCTTGCTCTAATACAAATTTTTGACATTAATGTCTTAGGAGCTTTCTAGAAACGTGTTTTATGTGTAGTTTTTACAGGTATTTAAAACATTGTGATTTTTCTACAGGAAAAGCAATAGCTTGTTGACCACACCTAAAGATAATGGTAACTTGTTATCTTTTTTTTTTTTTTTTTCCACACGCAAAGGTCAAATAAGGCCTACACCTAGAAAATATTCAGGGGAATGGGAGAGAGTAGTAGAAGACAAGAGGAAAGGTGTGGAGGATCCCAGGTTAGGAACCCAGGACCAGAGGCAAAGACTGTCTTAGCTACTTTGCATTTTGCCTAGTCCTTCCAAATCTCCCTCTCCTTTTATTTAGCCCTGGCCAATACATCTTAGAAAACTCCCAGATTACAGACTATTGGCAGAGCCATGTCTTTTGTGTTCGTTTACTTAATGCATATTTACCAAATGCCCACTGTGAACTGGATTTTGCTGGTCATGCTACAGTAACAAGGATGTTCACAGTATGTGTCCCCAAGAGTCTAATAAGAAGTAGCACCAGCCAGGCGCCTGTGGCTCACGCCTGTAATCCTAGCTACTCAGGTGGCAGAGATCAGGAGGATTTCTGTTCAAAGCCAGCCTGGGCAAATAGTTCATGAAAACTTATCTCGAAAAAAACCTTCACAGAAAAAGGGTTGGTGAAGGGCCTCAGGGTGTAGGCCCTGAGTTCAAGCCCCAGTATGGCAAAAAAAAAAAAAAAAAAAAAAAGTAGCACCAGTAAGCAAGCGATCGTAATGCACAGTGGTAAATGCTACATGGGCAAAGGTAGGGTACCCAGAAAGCCCCCCAACACTGACTTATGGATCAGTGGAGGCCTCCCAAAGCAATGTAGTCTAAGCTAAAACCCAGAGGGTAGGTAGAGAGCAGCTAGGTAAAAGGAGACTATGGGGCAGGAGAGTAGTTCTGGGATGAGAAACATGTACCAATGCCAGGAGGACACCAAGGCTCAAATGTTTTCCAATCCAATTCACCAGGAAAGAAGCCTTTACAGATATGTGAGGCTGGATAGTAATAAAAGGTGTGCCTTTTCAGGGAGAGTCTTTATAGGACTCTTTACTGGGCATGGTGAGCCATCAACAACTGGTGAGAGATGAAAGATTTCCTGATTTCAGTGATTTCCTCTAAACACCAGTAGCACTTGAGGTATCAAAGATTTTTGTTTGTTTTTGTTTGGTGGTACTGAGGGTTTGAACTCAGGACCCCACACTTGCTAGGCAGGCACTCTTACCACTTGGTCCACTTCCCCAGCCATATTTTATGTTGGGTATTTACAAGATAGGGTCTCATGAACTATTTGCTCATGCTGGCTTCAAACCACAGTAGTAACTAGGATTACAGGAGTGAGCCACCAGCACCTGGCTCAAAGATATGTTAGTTTACACACCTGTAATCCTAGCACTCAGGAGGCTGAGGCAGGAGAATCAGGAGTTTGAGTCCAGTCTGCAAAGCATAGCAGGACCCCATGTTAAAAAAAAAATTAGATGTTTTTGGAGGCAGTGGCATGAGAGAGCCAATTTTCCTATGCAACAGGAAATCCAGTAACTCTTAGACAATTCACCACCTCAATAACATCATCCTGAGCTGCACATTCAGTTCCACCTGATTCTGCACATCGCCCCTGATCCTCAGGCTAATCCCTTTGTACTTTCAAGATGGCTGTCAGTGTCAGTGTTGCATCAGAACTGTGATGGACAATGGCAGGGAGCAACGCCTCGGCAATGGTTCCCTTTCAAAGAGGTAGAGGGAAGAAACTCATTCCAAGAAGTTCCTCTTGTCTCATTAACCAACTCCATTTTCCTAGGGCCATAGTAAAGTGCCACAAACTGAGTGGCTTACTACTTACGCTGGCACCATTGTGGAAGCCAGAAGGCCAAAGTCAAGGTGCTGGCAGGCTGTGCTGTCTTTGAAGGCTCTAGGGGAGCATTTGTTTCATCCCTGTCTCCTACCTCTATTGTGACTGGCAGTCCTTGTGTTCCTTGCCATATGCACATGTCACTCTAGTCTCTACCTGCATGGTCACATGGCCTTCTTTCTGTGTCTCTGTCAGTGTTTTCATATGGTGTTCTTTCTCTTCTTATAAGCCATATTGAATTAGGGCCATTCTAATGACCTCATCTTGACTTCTTTACATCAGCAAATATCGTGTTTCCAAATAAGATCACATTTACAGATACCAAAGATTAGGACTTCAGCATCTCTTCAGGGGATGCAGTTCAACCTGTAACACCAGCCTGTGCTAAAAGCAGTCATCAGTGCTGCGTTGACCTAGACTATTGGAGGCAACACCATCTGGCTGGAGATGGGCCTTATGTTCTCCGCTGTATACAGTTGCCAATACCTGGCTGGAATTTAGTTTGATCAGTAAGAAGAGGGAGGGGAAAACGGCCATTTCGTGTGGACACACCATGAGTGAAGGTGAACGAGGGAGGAGGTGAGTTTAACTAAGATACAGTGTAAGCACTTTGGCAAATGTCACAGTTACCCCCAGTACAACAGAAATATGATAATAAAAACTTTAATTAAAAGTAAGAGACACTGTAAAGACATAATGAGAAGGCAGCTGTCTGCCAGCCAGGAGAGGCCTCACCAAAATCTCCTTCATTTTTCTTAGTTTGTGTACTCTATACATCAGAAACCTCTTGCATCTGTTTTGACAACACTTAGGACAAAGCACTCACATTGGTGTCAACCTCCAGTTCTATAAGAAGCACTTTGAGCTGAGCACTGATGGCTCACATTTATAATCCTAGCTTCTCAGGAGGCAGAGATCAGGAGGATCACAGTTCAAAGCCAGCCTGGGCAAATAGTTCATGAGACCCTATCTCAAAAATACCCTTCACAAAAAAAAGCTGGTGGAGTGGCTCAAGGTGAAGGCCCTGAGTTCAAGCCCCAGTACCACAAAAAAAGAAACACTTTGAGTACAATCTTTGATAATTACCTGTCTCTCCAATAGAGGCAAAACTTCTGCTATGAAATGCATATTAACCTGTGATTCTTTCTCCTTTGAGTAGCTCAGCCTACCTCCCTGACTTGTATTCTGCGTTCAACTTGTAATGCTGCTTTCAGTAGCAGGAAAAGGCATCTCTTTATTGTGCTTCTTCTCTTAACAGCAGCCTTCTTCTCCACCCTCATCCAACAACAGAAACATGGCAAACAGAACAGGTCCTGTATAGCATTCAGCCTAGCTGGATGCCAGTGGCTCACGCCTGTAATCCTAGCTACTCATGAGGCAGAGATCAGGAGCATCGTGGTTTGAAGCCAGCCCAGGCAAATAGTTCAAGAAACTCTATTTCGAAAAATCCTTCACAAAAAACGGCTGGTGGAATGGCTCAAGGTACAGGCCTTGAGTTCAAACCCAGTACCACAAAAAAAAAAAAATTTAGCCTATCATCCATGGGAGACAATGGGACTATTTCATGTCCGTCATTCTGAGCACTGCATCATCACAGCACTACTCTCTCAAACAAACTTTTGCTAAACACCTTTCAGTGCTGGTGGTGATGCATGTGAAGACAGAGAAGGAGCAAAATAATGAGGGCTGTGAGATCATCTATCAAATGGAATTTAGTCCATGAGTACTTGAACAGTCCGATCTTATTTCCTGCATTTAATAAGCTGTGCTGGGCCAAGAGAGAAAAAGAACACAAAAAACTAAAGACTCTCCAGCTCTGTGAATCTTAAATCTCAGAGCTGTAGGCAGGAGCGATCTGTGTGTTCCCTGTTGCCATGAGGATGCAGAGAAAAGAGGACCAAAAAATTCGAACCCCGTTCCTTTGAGAGTAGCCAGCATTCTCCTTTAAGAGGAAGGGCCTGTCACTGCACTCAATGGACCTCCCTGCTGTCTTGGCAGCAGCAGGAGAAAGTAGTCCAAGCAAGAGTTGATTGGCCAAGCATGTAGAGTGTGTGAGAGTTTATAACAGACCAAAACCACGAGAGTTTAGGAAATTACTCAGAGACCTGAACATATTCAGATCAATCCTGCTTTGTTTCCCTCTCCATCTGGGGCAATTACTCAGGGTGGAAACCTGGTCCTCCATGCTCTCTCTCACTCATTTCTCTTCTTATCCCACACAGATGCCACAGTCCTGCTCATGGAATCCCACCACTTCCCTTGTGGCTCTACTCCCTGTTTCTTATTCCTACTGTCGGTCTTGATCAACTACTCAATAGCACCCCACTAGCCACCCTGACCTGACTCCAGGCTTTTGCCTCTCAAGACAGTT